TTTTTTTGCGGCACTCTTCATCGCTATTGGCTGCTGCCGCCCGTGAGACTTTTGCTGCTGCCCGTGAGACTTTTCCAGGAACGACATGCCCTTCCCCCTCCCCCCTACCCTCTAGAGTCGGCACAAAATTGCGGCGATGAATCCTCCCGTGAGACTTTTCCAGGCCGCGGACTATGTGAAAACACAAGTTGATGTTTTTCCAAGCCGCAATCGTCGGTCCGTGGGGTCCTGGAAAAGGGTTTGCAGAAGAATTTCACCTTTTCCAGGACATTTGCAGCAGGCTGTGGGGTCCCGGAAAAAGTTTTTCCTTTCCGTGCTCCTGTGGGGTCCAACCCTGAGCTATGTTTCTTTCTGGTGAGGGTTGACACACCCTCATCTGTCATATCGTGCACCTTCGAGGTGTGCCAATCTTTCATCCGTATGCTGTTTCCAGTTTTGACTGCAGTTTTATCTTCCTTCCAAGTTCCAACGGCCTTGTTCCACCGCTCACCATCCGCCAACATTTTGAATGCATCTGGACAGATGCTCTGTACATGGGAATTCCAAATCTTGGCCAATTGCGAGTTGCGCAACTACGCGCTTTTTTTTTTTTTTTTTTTTTTTTTTTTTTTGTGGCACCACGTTCAGCAGAATGGCTTCAGAATTGCTTCTTTAGCATTCCCTCATGAAGTGGTCCCCTTTTGTGGCGTCCTGTGATACGCAACCTCACGCCCCCTCGCGGCCTTCCCGTACTGGGTCGCCGATCAGAGTTCTGGGAGGGGCGTGGCCGAGGATTTTTGGCCGTAAGGGTTGAGTCTCCCGGACGGAACGGGAGGCTCTTGTTTCGTGCCAGAGGTTACCCCGGAGTCGAACTGTAGTCGCAAAGTCCCGCGGGGGCCTTGTCACTCCGGAACGATAAAATCAGAGGAATTTCCGCTGAAATGAACGGTCGTCGTGCACCAGGACGGAAAAGCCATCAAGGGGAGAGGGCCATCGCGGCGGAAGACAGAAACTCCGGCCGTCATGGGTTTGGGGGATAGGTGGTGGGTTCGAAGCCTTCAGGCCTCATCATCGGCCTCACGAAGTGACCGAACCATCGGGTCTTCGCTGTAGAGGTGGCTGGTTCGAGGCCTTCAAGCCTCGGCGTCGGACTCGCAGAGTCCGCGCGGAAGTTTCCGAGAGGGTGAAACGGCGGGAGGGCTCGTCGGCATCCGAATTCGAAATTGTGCGGGCAGCGCCCCCACATTACGGGAGAGCTCGGGGAAACGTGTCGCTCCCTCGTAACCCAGGACCAAGCGTCGCCAAGAACACGAGTCCCCCTGGCGACACCAGCGACAATCAAACTGCGGCCGCCACGCGGCGTGAGCGGCCGACCAGGGCAACACCGTCAAACCCGTATAAGGCAATATTAGAGTCGGGGAATCAAAGCGATCAATCAAGACAAACCCGTTCCCCCTTATATTACACGCCCGAGGTGGGTCTCGCCAACACACTTGCTCCGTCCGTCTTAGCGCGCGCCGTACATCCGCATCGCAGTAGACGCTGTCGTCATCTGCAATGGGGAAGGTCGGTAGCGCGATGAGACGATCGGAGGTGAGCGATGAACACGGGCAAGATCCCGCGCTCCCGGTCATCCGAACCGACACCGACTCCATACAACACTCGACGCAACTCTTCTCTCTCAAAGTTGGTGCGTCGGGGGAAGATAACGAAATCTAAGCTCTCTTCCCCTTGTGGGGGCGTCGACCGCGCGCGGACGCAGGCGGTTGACGTCATCGTTGCAGGGACGAGAAGTTCAAAAGCGATGACTATCAATTCACAAAGAAAGGCGATAGAGAGAGAGTGAGTTACACCGAGACTGCGCGTGCGCACAGGAAAGGCCGTGGAGGGGAGGGGAACAACAGGATCAACACACTCATACTCCTAAGCAGACGGTCCTCCAGTTCCATTCCCTCGTCCCCGCCCGGATAAGTACATACACATATACATGCATGCAATCAACAACCCTTGACAAAACATCCAATCATCCGCAGACCTTCGACATCACTCATGCGCACAACCAGCTCCCATCACTCGGGGCTTCACACACACGTCATGCATAGACAAAGCAGCAATGGAGATAAAAGCGAGTCCTTCTTGTACACAAAAATTCTCAATTAACTGCCGCCCCCAGGCGCAGCCTTCGAAACCTCCCAAGACCACCGACCACCATAGCCACAAGGCCCTGCCGCGGCCGGCGTCCAATCCCCACCACTGCTCAGTCCCTCCGACTGCTTTGCCCCGAGACTACCGCGGGTCCACCCCACGTCGTCACTCCGCCCGTCCTTGGGCTCGTCGAGCCTGTTCGGCGCCGCGGACTTTCGCGCATAGCTCGCGCAGCATTGCAACCGAGATCAAAGAGGTGGAGAGGAGAGGGTTGCGCGAATTTATAGCGCGGGAGGCGGCGGGTTGTCAGCGCGAGGTGCGGGCAGCGCAGGGTGTAGATGAGCAGGACAGAAGAACGGTGGGGAGTTAGAGGGTTCGACCCGCGGGGTTGCATGGTCCTACGTGATTGGGGTGTTCGCTCAAGGGCGCGGTTTCCCACTCTCCACCTTGGTCCGAGCATCCCAACTATGCAGCCAATCACTTCGCGGAGGAAGACGGGGTAAGGATCAAGCTGGGCGTAGGGGAAGACGAAGAGTCCGGCCTGAGGGAAGCGTGCGCAGCAAGAAAGGAAGATGGCGCGGGGATGCAAAGCAAGAAACGGGGGTGCGTGACGCGCGAAGAAATCGGAGCTTAGGCGTGCGCGCGCAAAAATTCAAAAAGTCCCAACCGCACTCGTTTCTTGGTTTTCATACCGCAGCTGCTATTCGCCCGCGCGGGAGTTATTAACCAAACAAAATGAAAAAGTCGTTTCAAAAAGAAAACAAAAGCAAAAAGAAAGAAAAACCCCTTTCTGTCCGCATCCGTACTTCGGGGCTTCCGCGGGATTTTTCCTCAGGGATACGGCAAGCCGCGCAGTACGGGTCTGAGCTTATCACATCTGTGATACGCAGGGGGTTCCGAAAAATTAGCAGTCTCCCGACTGCTGATGTCATCATATCTTGGATGATCGGGCGGCCTCTTCATCGTCAGCTGGCCCGATCATCTTCCGAATCTACGTGGATGCATCCTGCATCCTCCATCGCCTCCTCCCATAGTATACAT